ACACCACGCCGAGCCCCCGCAATAGCGCCTTCCTAAGGCCTCCTATTGCCGTTACAGTACAAAGTCTCTAGCTGTCAAAATTGTCACGTGTATAAACTGCCACGCCCCGCCCGATTCTGAGAGCGGAAGATAATGACAATCCAAACCTGTGAGATCTTCTTCCTCAGCCAAGATTTCGCTTGAACAATCGCTTCTTTGTATTCCTTGTCTGCCACCCTGGACAGCTCCTCGATTTTTGGCACCTGCTCTGGATTACATTTGGATCTAAAAGACTATTGTATGCTTGGACAATGATTAGCTTTAACTAACCTTTTGAGCTTGAAGACTGCGTTTTGCAGGGTATGAAGAACACTGTACATGCGAAGATATTCTTCCACTTTTGTCTTTCGCTCGTGTCGCTGTGCTGCAATATAAGTGACCGTGAGTAAATGAGCAATTAACTGCAAAGTTATGCGAGTTGTACATACCAGGAGTCAGAAATGCTGCTTTTCGGACAGGAGAAGGCATGAAATTGAACTTCACGCTCGTGTTCATTGGTTTAATTGTTTCTTGGACTCTACTGAAAAGTAAGAGAGTTTTGCAAGCTAGTATTCCAAGGTGATTAAGTGGAAGGGCGACTTCCGGTACTGCTTAGTTGTTCTTATGAAAATATGGTTCAAAAAAAGCATACTCTTAATGGATAAAATAGATGTCTCAAAAATAAACTAATAAGAAATGGAAATATTATAAAGTACATATTATAAAGTATAATAAAAAATGACCAAGTAAAAATCATCTTAACTGAGTAGATCACATACATGTCTTTCTTTGGCTTGTCGCTATCGTCACTAGTCACAAGCGAGTCGTCTCGCAACGAGATTGAGTCCAGTATTCTGTCAATATCCTCTCCGCCATCACCCTAAAAAATTCTAACATTTCGCTTCCTAAAGATATTTCCTTTTGTGTGAGGACATTGCCATAATCACAGGAAATTCACAGAAGAAGAAATGCGAGTCATACAAATTACCGTCTGCTTAAACAAACAAGTACTTTGAAAGAATACTTGAAAATTTGGCATACCCGATAAAGCTGCTGTTCTGCCTTTTGCTGTACCATGGTCGCGAGATGATGGGCGTCGTGCAAATGCTTCTGAATCTCCTGAGCTTTTTCAGCGTAGGCCAACTCAGCAGCCATGCTAAACACATCTGCTTTTCTCTGTACACCTAAAGGTTCACCTGATTACCTGGCCCCTAAAGCTTTCGATAGTGGGACATTACTAGATCGCATCGGTTCATTCGTTCTCTCCTGAGCACAAACGAAATATAGATACAAAAATTTCAGTCAGATATGCTCCACCTCTACGACTGGAGACGCAAAGTGTGCCTTTCTAGTATCTTCCTGGACCTCACTGGTCCCATAATCATAAGGCGAATTGTTCTCCAATAAGGGCTTTGATGGAAGTGAATGGCGCGGTTCCTGAGCTGTAAAGAAAAATGAAAATTGCTGATAGCCTAGTAGAAGATTATCCCTACCGACATCTCTGTTGCGCAGATTTTCCACTTGGGCTACATCCAGAGTTTGCCGATGGTCGCTGAATGGTGGAATATCCGAAGGTAGGGCTAGTTTGATAGGATGTCTAAAAAATGTCATTTTTGTAACACTTGAATTAAATCATAATCCGCTACTCACTGCAATTTTTCACTGGCTTCCTGTAGTGCTTTATCTAGTCTCCTAGAAGCCTTCTCGTACGATGCCAACTGTGCTTCCGTCCTTTCCTTGATTGAAGTGTCATGTTTCGAAGGCGACGTAGATGAGAATTTTTTCACTGAACGGATTTTGAGTTTGCCATTTCTAAGCTGGCTTTACAAATTTAGAAAATACTAACCATTGATTAGTGAGAATTTCGGAATTTGCGCTGGAGGAGTGCCGTGAAATTTTGAATCAGGAGATGCAGAATGCCCACTACAAGATAAAGTAGTGTAACATGAAAATGTCACCGTTATCTCAACAACTGTCAAGTTATAGCTTACTACTGTTACGAAACTACGAATGTATCACCTCGCCGTCTGATTTGATCGAGGATGTGTCATTGGCGTATAGAAAAATTCGTTAGGGCTTTCTAGCTTTGATGGCGTAGCAAAGATCGGCGTTTCTAAATACACAATAACATAAAAGAAATAAATTCTTTTTGGATTTAGGATTCCGCGAAACTGAGAGAGATTATGGGTGAAGAATGCATCTGTAAAGAAAGCAATCATATGCCGAAATTGCAAGCTCATGCTGCGCTTTGACGTAAGA